TAAATTTACTTAGAATAAAATTAATAATTAAAGGGATAATAAATATATATTTTTAATAATTAATCTTACGCTAATGAAAGCTCTATTGAAAAGATTCATCTCACTAATATTGGTAAAGTACATTTTCCATCCTTTGACAGGCTGCAATAGGTAAAATATTTAGAATTTCATTAACAATATTTAATAATACCTTCATGAAAGTATACGCTTCTGAAAAATGAAAAAAAAACATTTTTTTCTTTTAAATAACTCCTGTCCAAAATCAATCCTTAAAAAGAGTAGGAAAGCAATGAAAAGATAAAAACATAAATTATTACTTACATTGTTATTCTTATGTAGACCATGTCCTCTTCACGTTTGTAGGGCTAAAAATAGTAAAATTCAATTCTATACTACCTTGAAGTGAAGAAGATATCATCGGTGAGTCAATATTTAATTCGTAATGGAATTTTTCTTTATTCTTTAGTACAGTTTACGCAGAACGGAACATCCGAGATCTTAATACCCATTTCATTCCTAAACAATTAATATTACTGTTAATTTAACAAAAAGATAATATCAGTTGCGGATTGTGCCGGTGCAAAATTTATTTGCGTTATCATGTATCAATACAACTATGAAGTTCGTTCCAATTTTCAATAAATCTCCGATCCGTCCGATGTAATATCAGATTCGTGTAATGGATTAACAGATTTACAATCGTTGAACACACACAATCAATACAAAAAAGTTGTTCGAAATGAATGATTCTGTTCCTCGTCTAACCGTACGATTTTATTACATAATTATGTATTTACAGTACAGCTCTCGCGTTCCCGACCACGATCAAAAAGCTAAACGTGCACAAGGGCAAGGGGAGACGTATAATTGGGAGATGACTTGATGTCTAGCAGAACAGCACAGAGACAAAAAGTGTCTTTCTATATAATTAACAATTTTATAGTTTTAATTATTAACAGTCCAGCAGAGAATTGGACGAGAGAAACTGAAAACTGATCAAACAGCCGAATTCCTCAGTCTAGCGGCGCTTAGCTCGGTACTTAGCTATGGTAACCGTGACTCTTCAGTTTCGGCATGTCTTTGTTATTACCTGAGTCGCGCAACAAAGAAAGCAAGCGAAACGGAATGCAATGAATGCGATCATTAAAGATGTGAGATTGAATTTGTCGAATTCGACTGTTCATGATCACATGGAACGACCTGGTTTCGTTTCGAAGCTCGATATTTGGGTTCCACGCGTTTTCAAAGAAAGAGATTTGTTGAGGGACTTGAAATAGAGTCGCATTGGTATATGTGATTTGCTGCTCAAACACGAGAAAAATGATCTATTCTTAACCCTTTCGATACTACTGGTTACTATAATCACCCATCATTGTACGCTCACTGTGTACTACCAGTGACTATAGTCACCGACTGATAGTTTTGTAAATAACCCATTATTGTTTTGAATCATGTGATGTAGGTTTATGCGTGTATCCTCGTTTCCAAATTTATCACAGGGAATTAAATTTTTAAACAATTTTTCAAATCGAAATATTTATAATGCATTACATTCCTCGATAAAATGTACATTCACGTTTTAACTGGCCGTTCAGTAGAACCATATGCGCAGAAGACATAGCCGTATCGAAAGGGTTAAGGCGAATTATACCTGGCGATGAAAAATAGATTGTTTACGCAATGTTCCTAGCTCAAAGCACATCGAAAGCCAACATTTACTGGAAAAAACTGATGTCCTCTGTTTGGTGGGATTTTAAGGGAATTGTTTTTTTTTTAAGCTTCCACCAGACAATTCCACAATTAATTCGGAAGTGTACTGCAACCAATTGGATAAATTGAGTGATTCCATTAAACAGAAGAGACCTGAATTGATTAACAGAAAAGGCGTAGTGTTTCATCACGATAACATTAGACCTCATACAAGTTTGACGAGGAGGACTTTGATGAAACGGGGATGTCAAAAATTACTTGGATCAGTTTTTTTCAAGCAAAAATCAGAAGTTCTACGAGTGTGGAATCATACTACTACCAGAAAGATGGGAAAATGTATTAGACCAAAATGGTCAACATATAATTAAATAAAATATTTATATACTATTAAAAATGTGTTTTTCATTTCGTGAGAAAAAAAACGAAATTACTTTCCGAACAACCCCATACGTTTTAACTTTCAGATCGTGGTTGGGAAGGTGAGAGCTGCACTGTAGTTATGTCGCAACGATCACGCGATTTTACAAATAATCGTTAACACACAATAGACTCAATGACCATTTACTAGAGAAATATTGTTCAATCTTAAAACGTAATCTGAGAGCAACGTCGTCGCGAATAAAATTTAACCGATCAAACAGCAACATGAGATTAATAACTAAAATGTAATAGTAACTACAGAACACACGTGTGTGTGTAAACATTACGATCACCCCTGCCCGAGTAATTAACATTTGCAAGGCTTTTCGGTCTCGCGTCCTTTACGTCGCCACGCAAACAATTCGCTAGTATAGCTCGATGATGAAAAACGCTATTATACATCGGACTTAAATTTACATGTTCCGTTTAAAAATCGATTTCATTTAAAACATGAAGCGTCACGTCTTCGGCTGTTTTCACACTTAGGCGAGAAAGTCAATTATGGAAAGGACAATGTTGAAAGTTAACGAATGTTGGTCCTGGTCAGGAACCAAAAATTGTTTTCAGGTATGGAAATAATGTATCGGCCATTTAACCGAAAAATTGCGGTAAATATAGATTGTTCGAAGTTCGTGTTAAAGATTATTTACAAAGATTAGAGAAAATTAATATTAGTACAAACAAGCAAGAAGATAAATTTGACATGTTATAAGAATCATTAAAAACAAGAAATTCTTTGTAACAATCCTTATGAGCTAAGCAATTAGAAGCTAACAATTGTTTATTTTAGAGATGATAAAAATTATAATAAGTTACCACAATAGTCAACATACCTCATCCACATTTTGTTCGAGTGACAATTTGAACATATTGTGTGTACATTTTTTATCCACGATTACCATGGGAAAATTTTTGTTCCCGGTTCGAACTAAAATTCGTTTGCATTTAACATTGTCCTTATCAAATCGTGATCTAATCTGTTTAAAAATAAAACAAAAAATTAAAATTTAAACCCAGTTTTAGCTCGGTTTTGGCCTGATAAATCAAAGTTGAGAATTAATTTACATCGTTGTCCATCGTAGTTGAAGGGATCTTCCTATTTCTATATGAGTTTTCATATTTCGAAAATTTATTATGTTTATTTCATAAAAATTTCATGAAAGCATGTTATTATACTGATACTGATAATTTTAATAACAATGGTAATAATGGTAAATAGTAATTATAGTTATGGATTAAAAATCTTATAACTAGATACGAAATATTTGTTAATGATATTTCGACGTGCGAAGAAAGTAATATTTAAAAAGAAATGAATTTATTAACATCCGAAACAGAAAGATCCCACACGGATTCAAATAATGTTTCGATGCAGAACATTTTTGCGAACATTCTGTGAAAACCAGATCTTCGTTGTTGAACGTTAGACATTTACACGGGCCAGCCATGAATCCACGCGATAACTGATAATTTAAATGCTAAATGCTCTGAACAGCAACTATGAACATAACGAACGTAGGAAATACCGCAATAACGTATAACAGTATACATGCTAAATAGTGGCAACGAGAAACTAAAAATTCCAAAAGTGCCGTATCTTATTCACTTAATTAATGGCGTTGCCGGCTTTATAGGAATTTTTAGAGCTTAACTAATAACACAAGATTAAGAACACACTTCAGTATTAGAACTACCGTATCATTCAAAATGACTGATCGTAATTTACACATTTTACAATTATTCTGCAATTATGCTGATATCATGAAAAATGTTAAGTGTCAAGAAATTATTTAGAAAATTAATAGTTTCACTTGCGTAATGTAACAAATGTCAGCGAAAGTTTAAAAAAATGTACTTTTGTAATTTCTATAAGAAGTACATATCAACCATATTAAATACTGCGTAGCACTAGTGTTAAACGTTTCTTGGAGAATTCATGAGAATTCATATTCATATTCACGTGTGTCAAACTCACAATTCACGAGAAAAGAAAAGCCTTTGTGAAGAAAGATTAATTACACGTTTACATACTACATTTTCGTCGTTCAGCATTTCAAAACGATCTTCGAAATAAGAATCATTCCATTTGTATAAAATCGAATACATCCCCCTCTCCATCACGATTGTTTGTAAATTGATCCACTTTAGAATTTTCACGTGAAAATACTGCTTTGTATTATAAATGCAGACCTAAATGAATTCTTTCTTTGGCATCGAATGTGAATAAAGAAAATGTTGAAACTGCAATAATTATAAAACGATTGGCAGGCTTGATAACCTGGACACTGAAACGATTACTTACAATAGAAATACTCGCGACATTTCTCCAATGACAACGTTCGTAAAATAAATAAATACCTCGGTAATAAAATTTGTAAACGATAAAATACGCCTCATAGAAAAACCGATATCAAAACGATGATTCAAGACTCCACGCGCGCGGTTTAATCGATAACAATCAAGTGTCTGCAAGTTCTCGATATTTCAGAAAACGAACGCGTAGAACGCACGATTAAACGTATCAGTCTCTCGCAGGCTCTTTTGTCGTTGAATGGTAACGCGCGAAACGGATTCGAACGCTTCTCGTATGAAAATATTTCGGTCGGTTCGTTGAAAAGCTCCCGCAATTACTTGTAAATAAATTATGTCGCCGTCTGTGCAGCTCCCGGAGAAAATCAACTGGACAAAAAAGCTCGTTTGAATTAGGGCTAGTACTTATACCCGGGTATATGAGACACTGAGGTACTAAAATATCTCGTAAAGCCTTATAACTGGATACTAGAGCTACTACTACTAATCGACCTGCTGGGTACTCGGTTACTCAAACGGGTATTTACCCAAGCACGCAAAAATTACCCGAGTAGATTTTACTTAAGTATCCTACTTATGCCTTAATACATAATCGGTAATTCATTATATTAACCTTTTAACTAGGTATTTTCCAAATGATTCCAGATGAAATCAATTAAACCTTTCAGACTTGATTTTTGTACAAAATTATGTTCAAATATCTAACAACAATGGCGCCACCAGTAACGACATTATTTCGAATAAAATAGTGGTAGTATACTATTTTTCTGATAAAAATAGGCCCAAAGTAAAGGTCTATACATGGTTGCCTGTCACAGTTTTAATATTTTGTTAGATATTGAATTAATAAAATTTTGTACATTACAATGTGCGCCGGGTCTGAAGGGGTTAATATAGTGAACACCGGCTACGCTTCGATATTCCGTGGTTCGTATTGGACCGAATATTGCGGTTTGGGTACGATTATTTATCGAATCAACACGCAAACGAAGAGCTATTGGGAAATGGAATTAAACTTTGATGATATGTTAACTTGACATACCCAATTAAGAGGCTAATAATGAAAGTAAAATAATTAATCATTTGAAAATAAAATTCAACAGATCGGGTGGTAATAGTTCTAGTATTTAGTTAGTTGTAAGGTTTCGTGAGATACTCGGGTAATCCGGGTACCCGGGTATTTCATGAGTCACAGCTCTGGTTTGAATCCGGTAGAAAAGAGTGTTTTCTTTTTTCTATAAGAAAGGCGTCTAAAAAAAGACTTTCGGTGGAAGAGCCGGTTAATTTCTTCCAGTTCTCTATCGTTTTGGCTTTCTAAACGTTATTCAGTCGAAGATGCAGGCGAGAACCCGCACGATGCAATTGCCGATCGTAGCGCAGGTCCTTTGACCTTGCGTCGCGCACTCCTTCCTCCAGTTCTTCCGATTGTCCTGCCGCTCTTTCTTCTCCGATTTCGACATTGCGCAGCTTTTGTCTTTGTAAGCGCCATCGGTGATCCTCGGTGTGCTCGACAACCTGGACAGTGGTCCGCCGATAGATCTTCTGAACTATGGCAGAAAATGTTGACTTAACAAATTGCGGTTAGTATCTTTAAATTATATACGCATCATTCGATTAATTATGAATAATCCAAATAATTCATGACTGTTACGAATAATTTGGATTTATCATTTACACACGTAATATTTTTGAATTGAAACTCTCGTGAAATATGAGAAGATGTTTTAAACAATAATGATTTAACAACGGTGATTATTTTATGTAATTTGAAGACCGACTGAATAATGAAAGAAACAGCGAGGAAGCCAAAAGACACCGCGTCGTCGAGGATTTTGTTTGAAGTTTGAACCAAGGGTTTCACGTAATTTGCAAAATTATGGAACTCTCAGAAGTTTTGAAGGACCCGCCATGAATGGTTACACAAACAGTTACAGTTGATTGCTGATTGATTACCGCGAAACATGTATTTGTTACACACGCGATGGTTGACAACACCATTCTTTTTTGTCTCTTTAAGCGCACACTGGACTTGTTTAATTTGTATGCTTTGCTCGTCATCGTACACTTTTTAACGATAATATTTATAATTCTTTACAATTCTTTATGATTATTTGCGATTTTAGAATCTACAATGAAATTTCAAATTTCGTTAACACCAGTTCGTTGAGTCGAATCGATATTTAACGTTGCTCGAATGTTTGTCACACGAAAGTTTACACGAACTCGATGAAACACTTAAAATTCTAAACCGTGAGAAGCTTTGGTCGAACGACTGTGCGCAACGCGAGAGATAATCGCCAACTAAAACGGGTACTTTGATAACTGGATTTTGTAAAAACAGTATTTGAGTAAGATATAAGATCTGTAATCCAAGGGAGAGATAAAAGAGCAGCGCCTGATAGTGATTAGGGACACTGTTTTCAATAATGAGATACGGACTCATTTTCGATAAGGAAGGTACGGCTAGTACCTGTAACGCCGAGCACAAGTCAGTTTTAGGTACGTACTTAAACGAATATAAAAATCATCAAATAATACCGAATAAAAGACGAAATTCGTCCGAATATCCTAAACACAACTAAGGTTTAATCGAATATCTTAAAAATTATGAGAATTAGAAAGAAATGTTCAATATTGGTAAAAGTAACGTAATAATTCCTTCTCAACATATTCGAGATTGGTAACGTAATCCTACGTCAGTTTCAATTTGTTTCGAATAACATTGATAACGTAGTGCAACGACATTTTATATTTTTTAAAAGAATATCAGTCACTTGATTCTACATCTACGTTTTAAAATCTACAGCTATGTAAGTATTAATAACATACTTCTATCATATATTTTTATATTCATACACATCTGACTAGCAGGCATTCATGGTATTCATCTATAGACGTCGAAAAATTATATACGGTCGCGAATGTGTTAATATGTTATATAGATATTATAGGTATACCGTTCACCGATTTGTAAGTTGGCTGGCTAGTCGCAAGGAAAAAGTGTCCAAGGGCAAGGGGACTCGACTGCTCGCTCCATCTGTGTTACTGGGATTTCGTAAACATAAGAAGTCTGCTTTCTCCATCTCGCGACTCGGCCAATAACATGAACTTTTGTTCCGCAGCTATGGACGCGATGGATATCTCGAGTGGGAGAGTCCCCTTGCTCCTGTGACCTTTTTAGTTTTTGGGTAGTCGGCTAACTTACGAATACGGTGGACGGTACTTACTTTTGTTTCCATAATGTTGTTTATGTAATGCCAACATTTATGATCGTACCTCTTCTCCGTCCTGATTTTGCGTATGGCCGAGGATTTTCGCGAGAATAATGGCGGACTCCTCGCTGGTGAGTATGCCGCTCGCCATAGGGACCTCGATGAACTCTTTGTCGGACATGAGAGGATATCGGACGCTATACCAAACATTTTCGGATAGCGTGGATCTTTTATTGTTGGCTGACGGTTCGACACCGTGTCTTTTGCATTCGGAAACGGCCCACCTGTCCAACGCGTTGAACAACACGGATTCGTTTATTAGCTTCAGAGTGTCGCGACAGGCTAATTCCTCGACTTCCATCGCGCTCAGCTCTTCGAAATACTCCTGGCTGAAGACAGCATCCGGATTCGAGTCGATCACCTCCAGGCACCCGAGTAGAAGCCGCGAGCAAACTTCAGCTGAAATTCCAACTGAATTTTGATCATTTATTCTAATAATGAATACGAACTGAAATTCCTGAAGTTAACATTGTAATTCCAACGAAATTTTGATAATGTTGTCTAATAAGAAATAACAACTGATGTTCCTGAAATTACCATGATCACTTCTCTTAATACTTGTGGAGTTATCTCCGTCGTTTCCGTTTGCGTTATCTCGAATCGATATCTCCGTCATTATCGTTCATATCCCTCAAAATAAGGAAACTAAAATTTTGTGTACTTTTCTCTTCAATGTATACAATTGCCGAAGATTTTTATAGATCGCTTAACAACTCAAACACTCACAGCAACTCATTATTAAATGAGCCGTTCGTTTTGAAAGGGGTACAAGTCCATTTAAAAAAAAGAAAAAACTGTTGAAAAATGAAAAGGTAATATAGGAGTGAAATTGTTACATTCATTAAATTGATTTTTCTTTAAATAGGCTTAAGCCGGTCTCGAAATAAACGATTCTAACTAACATACAATATTTGAATCGTTTATTTTTAAGGTCGCTTAAGTCCATTTTCCAAAAAAATCAACTAATAATTTATATGTTATATTTATACAATACCTATTTCACCAGCGTCGTCCCCGGGTGCTGGCGGTGCGGTCGGCGAATTTGGCGATCTAAGAGGGGCGTGACTCGCGTAGAGGCTGAGCCCTTGATAGATCTCGAGCACGGTGTTTGAGTTTAGGTTCCTCTTGAGATACTCGACGGCGGAATGAGCCAATTCCGGGCACAGGTATTGGTGGGCTGCGTCGAGGGTGGCTCGAGCAGTGGTCACAGATTGGAAGTTTATCGGTTCACCCAGTAGATATCTGCGCAGAAAATCGGCCGGCTTCAGGTCAACGCGAAGGAAGACAGCCGACACTTCAATCTTTAACCGTACTTTCCAATTATTTCCAATGTAGTTTCAATTATTTTCATTTACATCAGTTAGGCAATTTTCAAATCTCATCCTCTTCGAAAGGGTTTCGATCATCGATTTCATCGATTTGTGAGAAAGTTAGAGGAAACGTGGCACAGATGCTATATAAATTGCTAACAATCCTTCTTCGCGTATATTCGATTTGATATTTAAATATTTTACATTTATATATAAATGTTTAGTCAGTGTATATTATTGTTTAATATTATTTTATTCAGTATTAGTATTGCATTGAATACCGTGTGAATAGTATTTCGATTACTTTCGTGACACTGTTTGTACCGATCCGTTTCGATTCCGTGCGTATCAGGAATTAGTCTTCCGTGCCTCGAATTTGCGGCATTTTTTCCTGGCAGATTGAGATCTAGATAATTCTCGTGTACAAGATACTATCAATAAGTAGGTGATTAGAAAAATAATCCAAAAGTATGCGACGATACCGGCTATTATAAGCGTGCACCAACACACCAGCGACATGTCAACGTACCTTGCAACTATTGCAGTGTTTCATTAATGTGTTCACAAAGATTTCCGAAAATCGAGGTTTCCTTCAAACGCCGTCGTTTTTTTTTAACTGCCCAACACCTTTTTTTAATGATTATTTTGACAACGACAAATTTATAATGTTTCAAAATAAAATGTTTAATAATTTTCTTTATAAACATTTCCTGGAAGCTTCAGCTTTTTACTGAACTTGTTATTTGAAAACTTTTACTTTAACTAACTTTTACTTTACTTTCCTTAATAATTTGTGTACTAATACAAAGCGAATTTTATTGTACCAACTGTATTTTTTTGTTTTTCATTTTTATTTCAACATTTTATTTTACTGCTTCGTAATTTGATTGTACACCAAGCATGTGATACTTCGTATGTTACCCCCTTCGTGATTTGAACATGCAATGGGGGTACAGTTTCTTACTACGACATCAACTGTTATTGTTAGACGACCTTCGTCTCCCCTTTGATCGTGTCTAGAACTACCCTGAGATCACCGGTATCAAAGGGAACCCTTAAAATTAACGCAAAATATTCGTAGGAGCTGCGATAAAATATTCGAAGAATATTTTTTTATATTAGTGATCATTTTTAGATGAAAAGTTTTTGTATAATTTTTACGAATGCAACAGCTGCGACTTATATAATAGTTGTTTCAAGAATATTAGTAAAGAATTGAAGGCTCTTTACAGTAATCGATAAACTAACTACGCAGTAACTATGTACCTAAATACTGAGGTTGTTAAAGAAATTTGATAATTGAAATAACTGTTTCATTCTACTGAACTAACTGTAATGACGTCATCAATATAATATGTATCACTGAGTGATCTATTTCAAAGAAATACATATCAAAGAAAAAATCAATCAATGTAAACGCGCCAGTTTGTTTACATATATCGCTCAATAAATTGGCGTCTTTACATTGATTGATTTTTTCTTTGATATGGATTTCAAAGAAATGGCGTCGTTCGGAGAACCCTTTACTCACCCTATCATATATTATATCACGTGTGCGTGTAATCTTCACAATTATTTCACCGTGGCAGAAACTGTTTATGTTGTCAACGCTAACAAGCTAAGTCAACGAATAAAACAGAAGCGTTTATCCTAAACGCTGTTATTATTAAATTATCCTGAACACAGGCGATCTACTGTCCACCAAAAATTGGCAAGTAATATGAAAAACGGTACTGTTCAACTACATACGTTCACGAAAATCAACAATATTACATAGTGTGCTATGTGAACGAGTCTAATTAACCAATCTCCCTTTACGAGCTCCACTCGCGCAATTGTCTCTGCCGTATAGCGGCCATTGCTTTCCCTGTTTTGCTCGCGGGCCACGTAAAAAGCTCTTGTTAGTGAAAGCCCCACTTACAACGTGCCCGAGTAAAATCACTACTAAACATTCCACGAATTTATTGAAAAAGGTATCGATATCTTCATTTTACTGTTCCATGTGAAATCATCCCTTAAAAAAATCTCTATTCGAACACCCTGCATAATTAAATACTAACCAGTATCAGTAATGTTTATGAGAAAAATAATGTATCTTAAGATTTTTCTTTTATTATATATTTGTATTACTGCGGATGTGGTAAAATGTACAACTGTATCGTTAAGTCGAATTAGGGCTGAATTGAAACTTAAAACGTCAAAACGATGTTAACTCCTTGGCTTACAATCTTTTTAGTAGCTATGTCAACGAAAGCTGTTTCACTGAGTAAACATAGAAAAATCTATTTTATTATCAATTTATTAAATATATTACATAAAATAGAAAAATATATTTCCGTAGAATATAATAAAATATAATAAAAAAATATATTAATTTTCATTAAAAAAAGAACTTCGGCGATGCTCGCACTTATTCAATTCGGTTAGCAATTTTGACGCGAATCTGATTCCATATTACAAAGCAAGGGATTCATATTAGAAGACAAGAGATTAAAACGAAAAGCAAATACTTTAAAAAAATGTTCAATCGTAATAAGGGATCAATAGTTAAAAAGGAAATGCATCGATGGATTAACGGGATCAATTGGCGGTTCGCCGTTTACCTGAACAAATAATCGAAGGCACGCTTCTCGACGTGCTGCAGCTGAAGTAATGGCGGAGGATCGCTCGGTGCAGGTGCAAACGGGCCGACGAGCATCGCGCGGAACCACTCCGACTTCTCGGCGAGTCGTTCTCTTTCTACGCAGTACCTCCATGTGTCACCAGGTAGACCGGCCTATATTTATTCAGAGTCAAAGACACAAGTTTTCTTCTCATTTGTATTATGAGATGTCGCAGCCCGATGCAGGCTTCGGATAGCACAAGGAACGACTCCCATTGAAATTTTGCCTTCTTTTTACGGACGCGTTGTTTTCCAATTTTTCCTAATAGATAGTGACTCTCACGGCAATCGACGTGCTAACACCCTCAGACCTGATTTTCATACAAAATTATCTGCACTTACAAGACTGTTATTCAATGTACTACCAGCAATGACGTATATTCTGAATAAAAAATGGTAATATACTACTTCCCTGATAGAAATAGGTTGTTCAAACATAGGGTGTATATACGGTGGCCTATCTCACAGTTTTAATATTTGATTAGACACTGAAAGTAGTAAAATAGTGTACATTATAATGTGCGTCAGGTCTGAAGGGGTTAAATTCCCGACAACCGGATAGTACTACTTACTCTAGGAGATCATTTGATGGCTAGGCTAATGACGACTGACAGATTTTCTGTTAGTTTCATTTGTTAATACTAGAACTATTGTGTACGCTTCAAAATGGCGAGTTTTAGTTTCCTTATTTTGCAATTATTCGATATATGCTCGAAATGATTTGGAAATTAAATAGTTCCACTTAAATACTATGACGAATGTCTGGAAAAATCGGAAAGAAGTCTACTGTTACAATCCTTAGAAGGACTATATATCAACCTTATGAATGCTCGGTAGTCATAGTGTTAATTCCTGATGTTTTCGATCGATAATTTACTATTCGTCGGTATGGTTAACCAATCGAAACTATAAAACGCTAGACGTCAAGTCATTTTTAATGGGCTGTTCCCACAATTAAACCGCTATGTCTATCCCGAGTTCCTCCAAACTAAAAGGTCACAGGGGCAAAGAGACTCTTCTACCGAAGATGCTCATGTCAGTAGCTATAGAACAACGGTTGATGTTATTGGTCGAGTCGCGTGACGAAGAAAACAGGCCGAACAGAACGCGACAGAGTGAGATGTAACGAACATTGTTGTCGGATTTTGTTTCGCTGGCTTCTTATGTTTACGAAATCTCGTTAACACAGAGGCCCGAGTAAATACTGTTTCCTGGAAGGACCCAGGTGGGCCGTGCGGCCGAGTCCCCTTGCTCTTTTAGCTTGGAAATGGGCAAGAGGGTGGAAAACTTGATGTTTAGCGGGACGGCACAGGAGCAAGAGGGGTCTGCTACCAGGGATTTTGTTTACGGTTTTGATTGGATTCGTGTAACCGTATCGACGAATAACAAATTAGTATCGAAGACGAGACGAATAAAGATTAAAGCTAATCACTGGGATACGTATTCCATATTCCCGCCAGCAAGTTATGTCCTAATTCAAAGGTGTCTACATAACTTACTCTCTTTACGCTAGTCACTCGGAAACAGCGTTCCCCACTATCTCTACTCCCTTTGCCTCTTTTCACTTTTAAGCCACAGGCCGGTTGGGATCATGCGAGTAACCAACTGTATATGAGCAGTTCTATCTAGTGTTCCACACAGGCAGGTAAAAGTAGGTATGGAGAGGGTACATTTTCGTGAGGAGAGTGTCACTAGAGTGCTCGCGGGCACCAATTTAGACATCCTTATCCTAATTGTACAGTCCACTCTTCTGTTTTATCGTACCTCGAGCACCACCATGTTGCAGGCAGCGGATTCTGCGGTGTGCAGAGAGGTTTCCTCGGACGTTAATAATGGTACTTGAGTCATGTCCTTTGGTAAACTTCGGTACAACGTTTTCTCCTTCGAAGAATGCCGCGCGATCAAAGGCACGATTATCGTTGTCGAGTAAATTCGGCTGCGTATACACACCCGAATCTTCCGCCGCAACTTTTCAGACTCGAGGCGAGCGCATCGCGGGTTGTCGCCTGCAACGGAACGGAAAAGGGAAAACGATTATTTTATTGAATTCCAATGGTAGCTTGTGGGAATTTGTGGTTGCGGTAATGACGTTACCGTGTGCGCTATAGATATATTTTGCAGGTAAATGAATGCAGCCCCAGCGTTGAATGTACTCATTAATTTCAGAAATCTCTGTAGAACTCAATGCTGTAGGGCAAATTCGTGCTAGGCAGCGCATTTTTCGTAAAAATGTAATAGCTTCTTTTAAAATTGATCATCATTTCCAAGTATTTAATGACATGAAAGATTTAAGATTTGCATAGTTACATATTCGGGTAATTTTCCTCTATATTTTACGACAAATTTTAACTGCCCATCGTTTTTAGTTTTCACGTATAATACTTGTTTCTTTTTTCAATTTTTTGAACAAAATAAATAGTATTTCCTTGACCCGTTAAGTTTCAATGAACTGATACAGGATCGATGTGTCGCAGCCATACACATACATATATTTACAAGGGAAAATGTAACACGCATATTTATTGTATCTTCCATGAGTCATATCCTCGAACGATAGTCACGTTGTGAAAGGCACGGATCAATGCGTTGAATTTTTATATTTACACGTTTTTATTGAGAAGCTTGTCGGTGTACTGCTGTGCAAATACCGAAAGTGCCTCGGTATCTAAATCATACAAAGGTTTGGCAACCTATACGATAGATATTATCTTTCTTCCTTTTTCGTTGGATATGGAATGTCATTAACATCGATCGCACTCCTTTTATCTACGTTGAAGATTAATCGACTATTTCTAGTTACCGATCACTGAACACAATGTGTATCCATGTGTTTACAAAATTCGCACAAGCGTAAAGAACGTAAAATACAAACAATAATATTTCATATTGTTGTTGGCATCATTATTTTTACAATAATATTTATATTCGTATCGTTTGCTCCTTTTCTTTCCCCCCCTCTTCCTTCGCTCCATTTTCTCTTTGTTGCAACAATTTTTTATCGTAAAATAAAATTATTTGTTTCTTATACGAATATTATCGATCAAATCGATTCGTTTTCATAAAATCTCAGAATAATATATTTCAAGAATTTCAGTTTACATAGAACAAAATCGAATTGAGCGGCATGTCACGGCGAAGGTCGACGTAACATTGGAATACTGCATCGAACGGGATACTTTCCTTGATCTTGTTATGATAATGCAATGTAAAATAAGTACGTGAAAACATTGTATAATATTTTCCTTTGATATATATCTCGGAGGAAATGTGCGTACTTACATAATTGTATTACTGTCAAAAAGTATACGTTGAAGAAATTATAGTTGTTGAAAAATGCTGCTTAATTTTTCCAGTAAAAAAAGGAACAGTTATTCAATGTAATTGTTTAAAATATCATTTGCAAAAGTAATATAAAGTAAAAATAAAAATAAAAAAGCTGCCTATATATTATGTTATTAGTGACCATCATAGAATTATTCTTGCGCAAAATTACTCTTATACTTGTACTCTACAAAACACTTCATCTCACCGTCATTGTAAGCAACAGTCATTTTGACACGAGTCCCAGTCGTCTCAATCGCTTGCATATGTCATAAATAGTAAACAAACAACACCTGCTCCAAATATCTACTCTTCCACAAAGAAAACGTCCAAATCGATCAACTACGATACAAAATCAACACCGAAGAATAAACAAGAATCATGTCAATGTTCACAAATCCAACGTCGAAACACTGCACAATACAACAAACAGTCCAAAAACAGTGTTGGTTCGCCAAGAATCCTCCCAAAAATGAAACTTCTCATTTTCAAATTCGTCTCCTACAGGTTCCAAAGCACATCATCATTTTCCAGTCACTATACATTAAAACTGCCACTTTTTACAATGAAAAGTTTCCTAGAACGATCCGCATTAGAATTCACATTAAAATGTCCATGTGTCAGAAATCGTCACTTCTCCTAACATTGACTCGAAAAGGAATTTTTCACGTTACATTAAAATGTAAAATTAGCATTGTATAAAAAACAATTCTCTGCTGTTGTCCCCGTAAATGTGTTTCGTCGTTTGACGTACAATTTCGATTATAAACAATTCCTGAATGAAACTGCGAGCGAATCCGATTGAGACGCAAGGAACGCGCCAACCCTTCCTGAACGAGCAGCCTAGCTCGACTGAGAGATCGATCGGACTCGTGGCGGTTGTCATGAATGAGTCAGTCCCGTGGGATTCACTTTGATTGCAAATGTGCGCGAGCGCAGTTTATCAACCGTTCCGGCGATTATTTATAAACAACGAGTAAAGGTCCCAGACCGAGACGTCAGGGAATGTTCGAGGACCATTGGACAGGACGTTATCGATACTACGAACCGTCCTCGAGATACGCGACAGGATGAGGTATATGGATACGGTTTGTTTTGTGATTTGTCCATAGGAAATGGGAAATAGCGATGCCTTATGAGGATATTTGGAGGATTTCTAATAATAAAATGTATCTTTCGCACCCCCAATGGCCACTTTCAGTGGCCACTTGATTTAACCAGTTAACTGTGGAATTCAGTTTGAAAAATCTTTCATTGCGCGCGCAATAAAATCAAATAATAAAATGTATACTCGTCAAACGTACGGAAAATGCACCTGTAATAGATTCTAACGAAAACGTACAGCGAAACGAAGAAGAATTACGCGTTTATCTGAAAAACTGAATAATTGATCGTTAAAAAAATTAGAACCATTTTCCGTTTTAACCAATTAACTTTGTTTGATATGCACACACTTCACTTTTTCATTTTATTGCGCGCAAAACGAAAGATTTTTCAAACGAAATTCCACAGTTAACAGATTAAGATGACGTGTGCACTCGTTGGACGCAAATAATTGGTTAACCCTCTACTGGCTGAATGTTTTTTCGTGACTGTAACAAAATTTGTGCAGTATGACATTAATAATGTATGATTATGAAGTACGAAATTGAATACATTAATAATGTATTCAATAGTATGACTAATCTTATTAGCCCTTTGCGGTTGAAGTACGGCAATTTTTGCTATTTACCAAACCAGTTTAACGAACTACATATTTGATGGTGCACGTCGTTCGGTGCGACATCAAAATGTGAGCCACTGGTGTAAACGTGTTACTCTGTATGTATATAATTTCTCGTTAAGTCGTTTTCAAACAATATCGTTGTGTCTCTTCAGAAAATGTTGGATATTTCTGGTGAAATACTTGTAGAGTGCAAACGGTTGACACTAAAACTACCAGACGGGTCAGAATGTTCCATTTCTGATTTCTTCCTTTTGCAATTATGAAATAGATAACGGATGTTTCTTTGAGAAATTATTACAGAAATTGATTTAGTAATATGCAAACTGAATTGTAAACCAATTAAAGCCTCAATAGATGCATCATTGGAGATTCTATAGAGAAATTTCAAAAAATCAATTTAACTGCTCGGTAGTTTTAGTGTTAAAGTGTATACTGCACGGTAGTATAATACGGAGTACATAACACAAGATCTGAAATATTCTACATTTCGCACGAGATTAGTTTGTGGCGATCGACACGCTGGACGACAGTTAGTGTGTGTAAATCTATAAGCGCAGCATTACGCGCCCCACATTGGTGACCCCGACGTGATTATCGACATCGAAAAATCCACGAGTTATAGTATACCCGCAAGTGCACAAATGCCAGAGGTCAACAGAATAACAGTACGGATCCAACCATTTTGGCCCGATGATCCAGAGATGTGGTTTGCACAAATCGAGAGCCAGTTCAGTGCGGCCGGTATCACAACCGAAGAAACGAAGTTTAGTTATGTGGTAGGCAGCATGGAAGCAAAGTACGCGAGAGAGGTCCGCGACATAATAACAAACCCACCCGCTAGTGATCGGTACACAAAGCTGAAGACGGAGCTCATACGCCGTTTGAGCGCGTCACAAGCGCAGAAAACCCGTCAGCTGCTCGAGCGGGAAGATATAGGCGACAGAAAACCATCACAATTTCTCCGCCGCCTACTCACTCTCGCCGGCCCTGCGGTACCGGACGACTTGCTGCGATCCTTGTGGCTCAGCCGTTTGCCGGTGCATGTTCAAGCGATTCTAGCAACCCAGACGGGCACGGAATTGAACGGGGTTGCAGAACTAGTCGACTCCATCGTCGAGGCCAACCCACAGTCGCGCCCGAGCGAAACCTATACCATATCCGACCATTTGGAAACCATGATGCAACACTTATCACCCAGCATGGCAGCAATGGCGACAAGTATCACTACCATGACGTCGAACCTACGACAAGAAGTCGCAGCCATCGGCCAAGCAAACACGCGATACCCGCGACGCGGACGCCCTTTTCCCGCGAGTCGACGGCGGTTTCGAAGTAAGGGTCGAGACGCTGGCCGTAAATGTATGTGTTGGTACCACGAAGAATTTGGTTCAAACGCTCATAAGTGCAATTCCCGTGCAATTTTGATTCGGGAAACGCACCGAGCCGTCAGTAAACAGTACGGCGACGACTGACGGTCAGGCGAATTGCTGTCTCTTTATACCAGATCGAGTGACATAAAAAGAATACTTGATAGACACCGAGTCGGACCTGTGCGTATATCCCTCAAGTTTCGTGCGAGACCGACAGCCGAAGTCAACGTATATGATGTATGCCGCGAACGGCTCACCGATCGAAACATACGGACAAATTTTCCTATCTCTCGATTTCGGTTTAAGACGTGAGTTTGCGTGGAGATTCATAGTGGCGAACGTTGACAAACCCATAGTAGGCGCGGATTTCCTCGGACATTTCAGTCTATTAGTCGATATCAAAAACCGGCGATTAATCGACAATACCACGTCGCTGCAGACGACAGTGCGTGATGAATCAAAATATCATCGACTACTATTCGAGTTTCCTGACATCAAGCGGCCATCCGGTGCCCGTAACGAGACGAAGCATGAAGTCAGACACCACATCAGAACAACGACTGGACCTCCTGTATATCGCAGACCACGGAGATTGGCACCAGATCGACTGCGAGTGGCTAAAGAGGAATTCAAGTTTCTCATGGAGGAGGGAATCATACGACCATCGGAGAGCGCATGGGCTTCCGCGCTGCACATGGTACTGAAAAAGACCGACGGATTACGCCCCTGCGGTGACTACCGTTCCCTCAATGCGAGAACAACCCCCGATCGTTACCCGTTACCTCACATGGAGGATCTTGCGCATTCATTAAATGGTAAGCGCATCTTTTCGACAATAGACTTAAAAAAAATTTATTTCCCTCCAGCGGTAGCAAACCTATACTGCGACGTCTCAGGCGGTACGATTCGACCGTTTATCACAAAAGAATTCCGTCGTCCAGTCTTCAAATTAATACACGACTTAGCGCACCCCGGAATCAGAGCGACGCGTAGATTAATAACACAGCGTTACGTATGGTCGAGCATCAACAAAGATACAAACAATTGGTCGCGTAGCTGTATACCTTGTCAGCGCTTCAAGATAACGCGTCACGTAACAATGCGTACCGTAACTCGGTACATTTAAGAATCCGGATTCTAGATTTGAACATGTACATATAGATTTAATCGGCCCTTTACCGTCTAGCAACGGGTGTAAATACTGTCTCACATGCATAGACAGATTTACACGTTGGCCCGAAGCGATACCGATCGAAGATATTACCGCAGAAACGGTTGCTCGAGCATTTTTCGCAGAGTGGATAGCACGATTTGGCGTACCCGCACGAATTACTACGGATCAAGGTCGACAATTCGAGTCTCCGTTTAAAGTGCGCGAGCGTAACGATAAGACATTTACTTTAAGAATTAATGGTAAGGACAAGAAAATTTCTATCGACAGACTTAAACCAGCGCATTTGTTAGGAAGCGAAGAAGAAACAGATGCGGATCAAAATGTACAGCGTGAAAAGAATAGTGCGAGTGAAGTTCCTCTATCCAAAAGACAAACAATTAAAACTCGATCCGGTAGAACAGTTAGATTCACGGAACGATACCAAGCCTAAAACCAAACGAATTTATCCCACTAATTATAAGCATTCTACGAAATTATAATCTTAGTTTTTAAATAGCTATAAGTTTCCATTGTATCGTTTACACTGGCAGGGGGGTGATGTGGCGGTTGACACGCTGGACGACAGTTAGTGTGTGTAAATCTATAAGCGCAGCATTACGCGCCCCACAAGTTTCATGGAAACGTCATTTCAATAAATGTGTAGAAGGAGAACGTTCGTTATAAAATTTTCAAGGAACCTTTCTTTGAAAAGAGTGTTCAGCACGTTGAATGTCGTACGATTTCACGAAGCAAAATACACGAAGTGAAAGAAATATAATAAAATAATTTCATTGTAAGCTACATAGTTGTAAAATAATATTATCCCCTTTTCTTTATCATTGATCACGTGCCTCCTTTCAAACGAAGGTATAATCAGTAAGAACCGTCAGACGATGTTAATACCATTTTGCATTTTGAGCGAATAATTAACAAGTGTTAATTCATCAGGATTTCCGAGAAACACGTGAACGTGTCTATTTTAGAAGCCTCGACCAAGGTTACACCTTCAGGTCAAGTCAAATAAATACAGCCAAAATGGAGGGGGTATAGAAAATGGTGGCGCAAGGAATTCTTGCAACAAATAACAAAGAAAAATCGTAATGCATGTAACGTTTAAGCGATTTTATATGGAGTACTGGGTTATGTGACTTTCTTTTTATTACAAAGAGTTAATGATATAATTGAATATTCTTATTAACTTTATAGTGGAGAATCTGCTTTCACTCTGGTGCATACGTTTCTCTTTTATTGCATTTGCATTTCCAGGAATTTTTACGTGCAAACACAAACATACGTATAAATCCCTTGAAATACGCGAAGCTTAAAAAAAAAAGATGTTCTTATCGCACGCGGATGCTTGTAAGATCCCCTGTTGCTTATGAATCACGCTATCGCTAAAATTAGAGGTGCAGGAGGCAAGAAACTGGAGTTGCGGATGGTGCCGGGGTCAAATAATTTTAGCAAAAATTTCTCTTGCTCCGGAAATATCGTTCCACTAGATAGTAAGTCCAGCCTTGAAAATGCGAACACCAAAGAGCTTTAAAAGTGTTTATATTAACTTCAATTTAAAGGAATATCCATTAAAACGTTGTAAACATTAAGCGTCTCTCAACTGCTTTTAAGAAAATCATTAAATGTAGAAATGTCGATGAAAATGTAATTTAAATTTGTTTATGTACAAATATATTAATGTACAATGTTAGTATATAATACTATATAGTACTATCAAGAGAAATTCAAGATCGTGTAATCATCATGTAAATCAATGAAAGGCTTATTACATAAAACTTTAACAAAGAGCTGCGCAATGTCAATTTGTTTAATAAAATTTTACGCGATAATAACAGCAAGGCTAACAGGATCTGACCATACATACATGGATGATTAAGCTAAACAAGCTTTCACACGGGCTTGTAATTTAATTAAGATTGATCAAGCTCGCCCGCATTTCAGTTAAGTTGCGCCGAGCACAGCGAGAAAACATCGGCAGAAAACACCGTTATCGGAATACCAGCATTTTTCGAATTTATCTTTAATTATGTGGGTGTGCAAAATCAAAATCTTTATTTGCATACCGATTGTCAATGAAGTATTTATTTAAACAATGTAACACAAGTAACGCGTCAAATTTTTCTTACACTTATCGGTGAATATTTGTTTAGACCAAATTTTTTATTTAAGCAGTTAACTGTGTTCGGAGAGTATACACGTCATTTTAAAACTTGAAATCATACATGTAATTCTTTTTTCTTTTGATTTGTTTTTCATTAAAGTATACCCTAGGTGTGATACCCTAGATTAGCAGGTTGAATGCATGCAATTCTTAGTCTTCGTATACTTAAAAAACTATTTTTTCTTCTATTTCTATAATGAAATTGTCTGAATATGAGAACGAAATGACAAAGATAAATGAAAATATTGGATACATTGCTTGTGAAAGAAATAATAAATTGTAACCTGTGCTACGATTTTTCGGAGTGAAACCACAAACTTTCTCTACGATTTGATATTAAAAGATTCGGCTGTTTCTGCGCGGAACGAGCAGTATAGGAAATGGGTATATATTGACCTTTAGGCGTCAGTACCATTTATCCGGGCGGAGAGGCTCAGTGATAGAGGGACGTGTTAACTTATAAACAAACGCAGAGCGACCCTTGAAACTAATGGGTCTGAGTATAAAGTTCAGTTGCCGAGTGACCGACGAAAAGTTTCGATTTGGATGAAAATTTCCATTCACAGAAATGGGTATAGAAACATTTTATTTCTTGTAGCTGAGCGATAATAGTTTAAAATTGAAAAATGAAGTACAAAATATGTAATATGTTGGTGTTAAGAAAATTGTTAACACATTGACTGCTATGGGGATCATCATCGATGATCGGAGTTTCCAAATTGCTTGAGAACGATCACAATAAGAAAATTGATGTCGATTAAAGATATTTAGTAACATAAGCAGCTAAATAATAATGTAACATGAATACTGCGATAACAGATAATAAATGATTGTTTCTAATAGTATTTGCCTTTGTTATGAAAGAATAAGTATTTAGCAATACAAAACGTTTGAAATTCTCGTAGCAGTCAACGCGTTAATAACCTGCAGATTATTGTGCATTTGTATCGTGCAAAAATCTTGTAAAATACAATGCTTACTGAAGATTACTGCAATTTTATTTCATTCTATTTTTAATTTAGTAAAACTAATATACCAATGTCTTTAAATTTAGTTTCTTTAAATTTCTCCTGGAAAGTTTGACTTCGAAGTTCCGCAGCTTAATTATTAGCATCAAACGTAGTTTGCTAAATTAACTTTCTGTTGGTGGTGAAATAGCATAGATTGCAATGTAACGGTAAACAAATAGTTTTCAGAAACTTCGAGATCAGTAAAGTAGTGAATACTTGTACGATTTCAACGGTTCTCGTGTTACAAGAGGTGCTTGAAGTGATACCCGTTTTTTGTATACCTATGTACATACTTAAATCGTCGAACTTCTGAAAACTGTGTACTTATCACGTTTAGATTGATTGCAGCACGTGTTGCAATGGTTACTTACTTCATATCTTTCATACTGTCGTCATTTCTTAGTACATTTTTTCTTTACAATGTCTCAGGTTTTTTATAGGAACAAATCAATCAAAAGTTTCACATTAAACGAACGAAATGATCAAAAAATGGCTAAGAAAAGGCTACAAAGTGGCTATTAAGTGTTCACCAAGTGCAAATTGAATTATTATAACCATTTGCCCTACAATATCATGTCAGTATGGAAGGAAAGAAGACAAGTCGAAGTGGTTGGCAGAAAATAATATAGTGCACGCATCAACAATGAGAAAACACAAGTTGTACAAACTGATCGAAAGAAATAAAAACTTGAAGAAAGTATACAAAATTCATACACTTTTAAAGAACCCTTAGTTTATTTAGGGCCACGTGAGATCAAGAAATACTTCGGAATTGACAAATGATGAATTAGAAATGTACACTGATGAAGCAAAAGCAGAAGTTACTCTAAACGATTGGGAAAAGTATTGTTCTCACGTGAAGAACTTGGAAAAGAGAATATTGGCTGAAGGATGGGCTGAGAGAATATAGGTTAGAAAGCACGTACTTACGAAGTAATTTGGAAAACGAATCTGATGAAGACAGTACTGCAGAAAGTAGGAAAAAATCAAGTATATTTTTGAGAATTATGAATGTTTAGAACCTATTTTAAAAATGAATGTGGCTCTATTAAAATTTAGCTAGAGTATTTACGTTTTTAACCATTTCTATGTTTCAGTTTGTGATACGAATACTTGTGTGCAATACGGGGACTAAAACAGGGATATTGCTTATTTGACATTGAAAATACCAAGCAGAGAATCAACTCAGCCGTATGCTGCAATTTATCCGGAAGAGATAAGAAGCGCGAAGTCTTCGGCAGTTCGGTAATTGCGGTTTTGCGTTGAGGCAAATACTTGTCACTTGAGAACCGTTGTTTCGTTTCCGCATTTAATTGTTGAACTATTTTGTACTTAAGTCATTGAAATCGCTTAAATATTCATTTCTTTATTGGAGCTTGTGTTAGCAACTGGGTACATATTTTGAAATTTTCTTTTACACAATTCGACGTTCTCGCGAGAATTTGACAAACCTGCTTCAGTACGCAATCTTTTTTTAACACTGTCACGTCGGTTTGTGCTTCGAAAACGAAACAATGAAGTAAAAATACTGGAATATTAAGGTTTGAACAAACGAAAATATTTCGATTGCTGACATGAGGATTATAATGAAAGATCTCCCTTTGAAATTTCAGAAAATACATTTTCGTGAACATTTTTATGAACAAAATAATGAATTTTGATTATAATGCAAGAACTCGTAACAGCTCAATTTTTATTGCAAATTAATGGCGTTCGACACGGCAAAGAAAACTGCAATAGAAGTTGTTTCTTTGCAAGATGGAAGGAGAAGAAACGGCGTTAAAAATGAAACCGAACGTTTCTTGCGAAAAATATTTCGACATTTTTCATTGTAGATAAATGCCATGCACGTGACCTCGAAGCCTCGAACTATGGTACCGTATAACATATTGTCTCTCGATTGCGTGTCTAAAGTTCTCGTCAAACGGCCGATCGCCGTGAACGGTAAAAAGTGGTGCGTGAATTTGTATAATAAAAACACGCGTTGCGACACAATACATAATGAACAGAATAGAAGAAAAATGTTAAAAAGACGCAAATAGAATAATTAGGCGTGCAGGAGAGAATGTCGCAAAGAATGTCGTAAAATCTGCTTCTAAACGAGACGAAATTATCGTTAAAAGAAAATATTATTATCAAAAAATTTAGTTAGAAAATAACTGAACTGTGTTACCATACAATGGCAATAATCTGTTTTCTGTGTATTCTTTGTCATTAATGTTTACAAAACATAGGAGAATTCATTAGAATATCTATGAAATATTATTATTTTATAAAAATACAAAATGATAATTCTCAATTTTAACATTGCCTTGCTTTATTGACTTTTAATGAAAATTTTTTTAAGCGAATGTGTGCATTTCCAACTTGTGTCGACCAGTTTGTGTGGCAAGCTTTGTAGCAACTTACGATGAGTACAATTGATGTGCAGTTGGGGTAATGGGCTATTTAGTTATGTAATACTGTGTAATAATAATCATAGCACAGAAGATTGGGACAATTGAACTCGCGAACAATATAATTGGGTTACAAGAGTCTAACATGTTGAATAATTTGAAAGAATGTAATAAAATATAATGTATACAAAGTTGTTATTATTATTTTACATATTTATTTTAGATATTACTGTTTCAATAGTATAATTGTACCTTTTTAGTGAAAGTAACTTCCATATAAAATGTAGAGAATAAAATTACTTATAGAAAATCTCGATATTCATTTTATGGTGTAACAACAGTAGCTCGACTTTGTCACCCTCCATTCAATCAATCAAATTCATAGTAGTTGAAAGACTTCCATCTGATTTACTTTCGCCCGCATGCACGTAACTCCTTTCTTGTGTGCTTAATGTATGGTTCGTGAAATTATCTTCAATTTATAAATACCGCTAACAGTACGTTCTAATTTGCTTCTATCAGTTACCAATGCTTTCCACGATACAAATAAATTCATTTACCTATGTATTCATTTCTACAATGTCACACCGTTAAAATTATATTTAATAATTTTATCTGTATATTTAAATTACAAGAAACGTCCTTATTCACAAAGTTTAAACTAGGTAAATAATTTTACAAAGAAAATTTATTTTATCAACTAAACAAGTACCTGCATAATAATCGATATAAATTGGTAAATATTGAAATAATTTATTTCTCGAGTACATTGTAGCATGTACTCAAACAGCCATCGATCGAGATCAAGTAACGAAATAAATAAAAAGAAATATGAAATAAAAATGTTGCTAGAATAATTATCCAAACGAAACTTCATTTCGATAATGTCCAGTCTTTTTGTTCGGATCAATTTGTCATGCTCTACTAGATCCGACGGTAAAAGCTGAGGAAACAATGACAGAACGCGCGGAAAGTGAACAATGTATGCAAGAAACGAAGGAAAGGGTGACAGGAAAAAAACGGCGAATTGAAATAAGAGCGTGCGAGCGTGCGACAAAACCTTGAGGACGTAATGAACGTCTCGTATACACAATGCTTTTAATTTTGGTGAACCGAACGTTGCCTTCACGCACACACGTCACGTCCTGTTTGTAGAAAAAGGAAACGAAGAAAAAATTCATCGACATCCTTGTACGACATTTGTCCTGACAACTGTCCTATCCAGATGAACTTTTATACTTCGATAATTATTCAGATGAATATATTCATCTATCAATTATTTATTAATTAATTAATATAATTGCGAGGAAACTTTGAATTTATTTAGTTCAAATACAAATTTTAAGTTATATAACTTTTTTACTATGACAATTATTCAGATGAGTATTTTTACATATCAATTATTTATTTATTAATTAATCAAACTTGGAGAATAATTTCAATTTATTCAGACAAATTTCAATTCGTATAGTTAATTAAATGAAAATATGTTCATAATAACGTTTAATATGAATTTTGCTCCAAAGGATTAAGATACGAGATAAGATTATAATTTCTGTTCTTTTTTGGAATCAGTTAAAAAAATTCGACTGATTAAACATCTAGTATACTGAAATGGTACCTAATACCGAGCACCGGATCCAGGAAACGACGAGGAATGAAAACGCTCCGCGTAAACGAAGAAGAATGTGCGAACTCAATTGCCACATGTGGCACAGCCGCCGCCTTACAATGGCAAAATGTGTGAAAATTAGTCGTTAATAGAATTTCAACGTATCGATGAGGCCTTGAATAGTCTCCATCCTATTCCTCAAGGTCTACCATGCTCTTCCAATCAAATGAACTTGAACGTTTTCTAGTCGTGGATCATACAACGCCTTTTTGTTCGTTAAATGGCAGAAGATTTAACATCAGATTTACGAAACCAGTCAATTTCACTCGTACTGAATTTTATAAATATTATTTGGTAAATGTTCGGGACGATTTAGATTGATGCAGTTACGTAAATATGTACCCTAATTGTCTACTTTTAAACCTCTAATGTTCAAGATCGAAACGAACTCTAAGAAATTTCTCTAAGAACGATAGAACAAACTGCATAGCGATAATTCGCAAAATATAACATTAACGTTTATACAACATGTTCAAACAACAATTCTATAATTGAATTTCCTGAGAATTCCAAAAAAAACCTTCTCGGCAACTAAAAATTGGGGGATCCGAATGTTTCTTTTTAGAAATAAAAAGGGATGCAGTTTCTCTCACCTTTCGTCCCGAGTTCTTCCAACGGTTTATTTCTAAACGGAAGTAGACGCATGTTTACGAGGTCAGTGTTGATTTTGGTCGGCCGGTTTTTGCAAAGCTTGAACGCACAGGAAACGATCCATTCGCTGGCAACCCAGAACAAGCTGCACGCGAAACAGTCGAGAAGTTTCGATGTCATGGAGCTTCGACGCGAAAATAGTTCAGGCATCGTTACTTCACGACACACTTGTGTACTTCATCACAACGTAGGAACACAATTTTTATGAATGTAATGGAATTGTCAGTATCTATGGGCATACATTCGCATGAATTTTTTCTGCTATGAGAAAGAGAGAGAAAGAGGGAGAGAGAAAAAATGTCCAATAACTCCCAGTTAGCCCCTCTATGAGCTCTCAGTATTTAGTTCGTATAGAAATTAAATTAGTTAATATTTAGTTTGTATAGAAACTGAAATGCATTAAATAATTTGCATACAATTTATGAACACAGGTATGCTTTAAATGTTTAACATGTTTCGGTATTCATGAAATATATGATAAACATTCCATGCGACTCTGAAGTTTGATTCGAGCTATACTTTTCCCACTTGTATGTATCGTTATAAAATTGTTTATGTTCTGTTACATTAGTTCTGCAGGTGTACAACAATGATATTATTTCAGACAGAAATACAAATGAACAACATAATCAAGGTACTAAAAGTACAATTTCCATATCCAGCAATTCAAAACTGGTTTCACTATTTAACACTAGAACTACCGCACTCGTTAAAATGGCGGGTTTCAGGTTTCTTATCTCGCAATTACTTGTTGATATCTTAAATATTATTATTAATATCCAAAAATATAATATTTCTCGGTGGAGTACTATAATGAATGTATGAAGAAATCGTAAAATATCTATTGTCAGAATTTTGACAAGGATTACATGTATTAAACGCTCGGTAGTTCTAGCGTTAAATCAAACAGGATGCGTTTATATTTTAAATCTCATAGCCGAAGAAATCAAAGAAATGTCGACGGATTAATTGAAATCGCGGTCCACTGAATCGTTCACGTCGAAATAAAACCAGTCGATCTTCGTGGCAAGAAGATGGCCTCCGCGGTACCGTGGAGCGAACAGCGCCAAAACACGTGTCGCGCGAAAGACACTCGAAGAATGAACCAAGCGGCAGTAAGTCGATGCGCTTTTGTGGTTTTAAAAGTGACCACCGGTGTATCTCGTCTACAAGAAATCACGTGATAAATCTTTTGTACAATCAGACGGCCACGCGCTAGGTCTAGGCAGCTGTGGGTGTGGTTGTACACGCGATTGTTTCTAACGTATTAGCGGAATAAAATCTCGATCACCGAACGACTCCATCTTTTTTGTCTCCGATCCGACCGGAAGACGATACACGTTGGCAAGATTCTTGAAGAATTCTAGGGAAAAGAAAATATATTTCGAACTCGATAGTAGCTTTGTTTTCTTGTGGACGAGAAAACATTGAGTTTTATGTTTCAGTAGCTGAAATATGATGAATAATAGTGGGCTAAATTCTATTGAGTTCTCGAGGAAAAAAGGCTTTGCGATGTTCCTGGATTAATTAACCCCAGAACAATCGAATGTTGAATACGATTAATACGTGGTCCTTATAATAATTGTAATAATAAATTTTTCTTCGGTTTCTTCGCATGTTAATTACAGTATTGAAGTGAAACTAGTTTTCAAATCATTTTGGATATTTAACGGTTTTAAGATATTAAGAATCGCGAAGTAAAAAGACTGGAATCCGCCATTTTGGTGAGTGCGATTGTTTTGATGTTAAATATTACTGTTACAATTATTAATATTTAATAGTCAATGGTATTTAATACTGTTTAATACTATTTATGGTATTTAATTTTCTCGGAAACTTAAGAATGATAGTGAATAGACTACTATTATTCTATATCTATTATTTTTTCTATATCTAACACCTCTTGATATGATTTTCTTGTGTTTGATGTGAATGTTAATATCAGAAATTTATAATATCTTAGGAACATTATATTTTTTCTTTGCATCGAACAATTCGATTTTTGTAAGAAAAGCTTAATTAAGAAATGATTTTACACCTATATTGTGCATGTTCTTCCGTCAATCTTATTCTGAAAAAAATCTCAACAGATTGAATTTCAGCTCGCCTTGCCAATGAAATGTAACATAATATCAATAAACATTTAAAGTCTAGAACGTGCTTCATAGTGTTCACAATCTCTGTCAGCCCATGATCACGTCCAATAAGTATTTTCGGGATTCTGGTCTCATTGATAGAGTCTCGTAATATTGATTTCAAATGCTTACACACTCTGTGATAAGTTGCTGAGATCATCCCTTTTTATTATTTATAGAAACTTTTTCCATTCAAGATCCTCGATATTATGATTTTATTATCGTCCCAATATTACCAATCTTACGCACTTTAAACATACATCACACAAATTTAAAGTATACTTTTATTTATTATCTTAACCACATTTAAGATTGTTGGTTCGAAAACTTTTGTACGTACCTTATTAATTTTCTAATCAATTGGGAGTTATTTAACCTATTAATTCTTTTATTACAGTTATAAGATTAAAATAACATATCGTTGAAATGTATTTGACGTATAAAAGTTTCGAATAGCGTCCAAATAAAAGAAAAGAAAAATCTTCATTAAGCTTTTCAATTTAATTTGGAAAATTCTAGATAATCAGTTTTGTCATAAACGCACACAATCCACAGTCCGATTACTATTATTAGAAGCATTATTTAATTTTACGAGGTTATGAATGGCCACAGATCCTTGCAGCGATACGTAATAAATATTACTGTTCGACCACTCGTAACGTGTCAGGTGACA